TTAAGTGACCTTATGGATAAAGATCATGATAATTATTTATGAAAAAATATATATTTTATATAAATAATTATTATAATTTTTATCTATAAGGTCACTTAAGAAAGATTTTGTAATGACTTTTGAGACATCATAACTTATATATTAATAAAAATTATACTGTACTAATAAAAAAGTCCTGTTTTATCTATATTATAAATTCTTTTAGCAGAGTAGTCTAAGCATTTTTTTTTTAGTAATGGTATCGTGTTGTTAATAGCTGTTATATCAGCAGATTCAGCTTCTTCTTCAAGATGATGTTGACAGATTCTATTTCGATCCTTAAATTTATCAAGCCAGCCATTGGAAAACTGCAATGCTCCTGGAGGAATTCTCAAGCCATAAACAAGTAATTTGGCTTTTTCAATAAGTATAGCATCACTAAGGATTGTTTAGCACTGGTAGATAAGTACAAACTCTTTTAGGGTGAGATCAAGTTCTGGGTAAGTTACAAGTTTATAATGTTTTGCATTAGGATTAGCAATTTCAGCATTAAGTCATTCATTTGCTGTTTTCAAAATACGTGAAATCATACTTTCATCAATTTTAATACCCTATTTTTTCTCAATCCAATTAACATATTGGGATCAAGTCACTTTATTAGCATGTGCATATTCACAAAGTTCATGTTTTTGCAAATCAGTGAGAGTAGTTCTTTTGGGCATTTTACAAGACAAGATGGTAATTTGAGAATTATTTTTTTTATTTAGGTGAGATAGTTCTTTTATATATATTAAATAATACATAATTCTAATTTAAATTCGTTCAATTCGTTCATATTTTCTTATTTTACACATATTATTTTAATTCAATATGAACATACTGAGTTTTCTTTGCTATTAATAAAGAAAATAAATATTAGTTGATAAGGCTAAACCTTTTTTAATAATTTTATATGCCTATATATTGTATAACTTAATCTTTAATTTCTGATATGGATACCATCAAGAAAAAACCTAACTCTGGGCTTTTAAATTTAAAATTTATTGGACTTGATCTCTAAAACATACATTTAATATACTGAGTCTATTAAGTTATAAAGTTAAAAACCCAAAGTCTGGTTTTTCCTTAGTGATATCTATATATGGATTCGGTAAGTGATGGATATGAGCACTTGTTTTATTATACTCTTACAACACTTGCAAAATTCCTAATAAAACTACTAAACTAAAAAGAGCTTTATAGCCTTTTCCTTATAAGTATCAGTTTTGTTTTTATTAATTTTATTATGCAGTATCTTTTTATTAATTTTATTATGCAGAGATTTTATTATCACAGTTTGCAAAATGATTTATTGTAATTCTAATTTTTATTCAATTTGCATGATTTTAAAATAGTTTCTTATTTAAATGTTTAATATAAATATCATATAATAATAATTCACTTTATTTTTATATTTACTTGAAAGCAATAAGTTTATTATGCAAACATTTTATAAATTTTATTATTACAGCATTATCTAAATAATTATAGAAATATGCATTCATTTTTAAGGTTCTGAGAATGTAAATTTTTTCTCATCTAAATATACTGAGCTTGATATTAGTGTTATGATTAGTTGAAAGAGCGATATGTATACATGCGCAGTTTAGCTCCAATCGCAATTTTGGGATGGGTTTATTTAGCAACAGGTTCTTGATTAATTCATATTTATTATACCAAAGCGTCAAAGACCTTATTTGAGAAATCAATTCTTATTTTATATTAAAATATTGAAGTCTGAGAAACTTTTATTAAAAGTCAAAAGAAACTCTTTAAATACATTATTTTTATTTACTAATAGTTATTGTGCTTCTCACTCTTACTAAACAACATTGTCTTTCAATTCTGTGCCAAGGTTGTAAACAACCCGAGTGGAAACAACATTGTGCATATCTATACACAATTATTACGATACAACCACTTGTGCATAATCCAACAATTATTCTTATAATAACTAGTTTAATCTCAATTTAGTAAATAATGGGCCTATGATAATAGCAACAATAACCAGTTTCCTACTCTTTATAGATATATTAATTGTCCTCAACAATTATACCTCAATAACAACAAACAAACAATATAAATAAAAAAAAATAAAAAAATCATGACTAGGAAATATGTCACAAGGAAAACTGTGATATTAGTTTAAACTTTTTTTATTTTTCTAAGATAAAATAAACACCATGTTAAGATAAAAAGTAAATTTATTTATATTTACAGATAGTATATTGTCAGAAAATTTATTTGATGAATTGGTAATCATTCATTCATGAGTACGATAAACTATTAATATCTCAAGTTTTTTTTATATCTATAGTAATATGTAATATAATGTGAAAAGTTTCTGTATATAAGAATTTTAGGAATTAAAGTTAGAAATAATAATTGATTACACTTGGCAGGGACATATGAAATATATAATTTAATCAATTCTGTTTTTGATAACAATAAATTTTATGATTTACTGTGATTAACTAATGATTAAAATCAAAGTACTGATTTAATAACATAATATCTAAAATTTTAATTTGTAAAAATAAAAAACGAGGATGGCGATCCTAGTGTAGTGGTTGGATTGTCATCCTCCAAGTGGCAGGTCTAAGGTTCAAATCC